TCGAGATTTTGGTATTACATTGTTCTCACACAATTGAACCAAAAAAAACAACGTAACTAGAGAATTGTATTGTGAAACTGATTTAAGAAGAGATGGACTTTCGTGCTTTTTCTTCTCCATAGGAAACAACACCTTGAAATAAGTAAATAGCTTCACTTTTAACGTTCAAAAGTGCCTTCTGGTGTAATTAAAACAAATGATTTTGATTTTGACTTCGACTTTTATAGCTACTAATGAAACTTGATGGCAACTAGGGTTAACATGTATAAACAAAAGACTACTACATACCTACCTATAAATAATAGCTCAGTGACGTGTAATAAGAAACCCTATTTCTTTAGCAGTAGCAATTATCTTCCCATTTTAATCTCGCGTGGGTTGTTAATAACCTACTCTCATCTTCATACAAAAACAGCATTATATTAATCTGTGAAAATGACATGAATTCCTTTACGAAATGACATGTTTTTGTCAACTAACTATACATATAAGATACTAGCTTCTGCCCGCGACTTCGTACGCGCAATCCCGTTTCTCCCATTCCCGTAGGATTTTCAGGACTTTTTTCTGTCATAAGAACCTTCTCCTGACGATAACGAACACAACAAACAATTATCAGCCAAATCGGTCTAGCCGTTCTCAAGTTATGGCGTGACTACGAGAAACGGGTTTCATTTTTATATAAGTATATAAATATATATACCTAGGTAACGTTTTCATCATGACCATTCAAGTTGGGTCCATCGTTGTTTTGGACCATAATCGGGTCATTACCTAATTTTCAAATTTCTTGTTCAGACTTGCAACGATGGTTCTATATTCTCTTTAGTTTTTATGCGACAACTGCCTCGTTGGCCGAGTGGTCGCAAGTGCGACTGCCGGGCAAGGGGTCTCGGGTTCGATTCCTGGGTCGGCCAAAATACTACTGGGTTTCTAAAAAATCTCAGTAACTAGTACCACGGAGTCTGGAATTGTGCCCGGTAAATGGCAATAGGCTCACCTCCTATTATATGGGACTCATAACCGAAATAGTGAAAAGTGGGTTGTACAGTGGCATTAAGTGTTGTAATGTGCACCTCTAACCTACCCCTTCGGGGATAAAAGGCATGATGTTATGATGTTATGGCGGTAAAAGAGCAGATGGATGACATGATGGTAGGTACGCAATTGGCGTCGTCCACAGACACCCGAAGAACCAGAAGGATTCCAAGTATGTAGTTGACCATCTAAGGTTTTAGAAATAAGAGATTTGAGAATTGGGGAAGGCTGCAAGTAGTCTTTCTCAAGAGAACAAATCCTTATGGGATCACTTCATTGCCTGTCCGGCTGTCAAGACCCTTTTTCTGTAACGTAACTACCTATATGAAATTGACGTTAACATTAAGGTTATTCCCTAAAGAGGAAGATATATACATTCAGTACCTATATACTTTTGACATAGACCAATAATCATATTTGTCGAAATAGCAACTTTTGTTGTTAACTTGCACTTCTCAACTAGACTAATGGTTCACTCATTAAGAATAAAGTCATGATAAAGTCAAAAATACTAACACGTACAAGCTTTCACACTTTGCAGTCTCTAGACATTACCTGTCCAGCAAATAAATTAAAAATTAAACTACATTAGTACGCATAACACTTAAAACTGACGCAATCTGTAAACGCCAGTTTCACTACCTTCATACACATAATAACATAACATCACGCCTTTTACCCCCGAATCGGTAAGCAGAGGTGCACATTACGGCACTTCATGCCACTGTACAATGTGACACCCACTTTTCACTATCGATGTTACAAGTTCCATGTGATGATGGGTGAGCCTATTGCCATATACCGGACACAAATCCAGAATCCGTGCTACTACTGAGATCTTTTTTTTAAAACCCAGTTATACTTTGTCCGATCCGGGAATCGAACCCGAGTCTCCTTGCTCCAGCAGTCGCACTTGCGATCACTCGGGCAATAAGTTAGTCACAACTCACAATACATCATAGTTCATACAAATAACTTCTATATTCGAATGTATTTGGTACATAGTGACTATCCAGGCGTTGTGAAACAGGCCCTAAGTGTAACTAAGGAATGTGTAAGGTGCGTTTCAATTAAACTTTATGATCAAAAGGAGGATCACCTTGGAGTGTGGAGAATTAATTCAAGCGTCAAGGAATGGTCGTTTCGTCCCCTGAATTAGGGGAGAAGTAATTTCCGAGACGTAAATAAGATGTAGAGGACATCAAGAACACCTAACGAAGTGAGGGAACTTTGTAGCCAGCTGACATTTACAGGAGTTACAAAGTATCAAAGATTTTCTTTTTTTTGTGTAATTTGCAGTGAGGGGTATTGGTAATTAAATGTAAATATTGAATTGTTAAACTACTAATCAATTGGGTATTTATAGGTACTCGTTACCCACGTTTAATAGGGTGGTTAAATGTGCAAAATATGTGAATAGTGAGTATATTTGTCAAAACGATAGATAGTCTAGTAGCCTATGGTCCAATACTTAGTGAATTGTCACAGTCTATTGATTGCATCAATACATAGTATAAAACAAAGTCGCTTTCGCTGTATGTCCGTATGTATGCTTAGATCTTTAAAACTACGCAACGGATTTTGATGCGGTTTTTTTTAATAGATAGAGTGATTCTTAAGGAAGGTTTGTATGTATAATACATGCATATTGCACCCGTGCGAAGCCGGGGCGGGTCGCTAGTTGATCTATAAATAACGGAGAATATATTACTTAGAATATATAATATTATGAGTGGAGACCACGGACCGGAAGACGAAGCGTGGGCAGGCCTCCCGGTGGACCGACGACATCGCCAGAGTTGCGAGGAGCCAATGGATGCGGGTGGCGAGTTATCGTTCGATGACGTTGAGGACTGAAGGGGAGGCCTTTTAGCAGTGTACGTCTTCCAGCTGTTGATCATAATGATGATGATATTATTTAGAAGTAGGTACTTACATTCACTTTAGACCAGTTACTTTGCTATTAATAGAAGGTAAGCCTATTGTCATACGTCCAACAACCTTCAAGTAAGAATTACGATCGATAAAAAACTATATACATTAACAACAAAAACGTAGCATTTTAATCTAAACACAAACAAGTCTTTATTAGAAATTAATTACTTAGAAACTTGTTTCGAAACAAAAATAAAAACAATTAATATAAATAAAAGAAAGTTTGGAATACTTGAAGAATACGCGACGTCGCCGCGACCGCGCACGCTGCTCATGAGGAAGAACCCCTCTGTGGTTCGAAACTAGTAGAGCTTTTCTCAGTATATTCACGTGAGTAACCCGCGTTTTTACTTAATTTAATACTTGAAGAGTTGAAAATATTACAAAAATATGCTAAATACGTTCGTGAACAAACAAAAAGTTAAGATTTAAAATTGGAATTGTTGTAAATCGGCTTTTGGATACACACGGCTTCGGGAATCCTCTCAAAGAACATTATTTGGACAACCATACCATACATTGTTCAAAAAATCAAAACGAATGAATTGACGGCGAAGTAGAAAACATACCCACCGCTACTATTTCCCGCGGGTATATGATCTATAGCCTACTTATGGATTGCATATTGACGAAACAGTTAGCAACTGTTTATACCGCAACATTCAATCAACTTGCCAATCAAAGATGAAGATTCTGACGTGATGATTATGGCAAACCCACTAGAGGAGCCCATGTCGGACTGTAAAACGTCACACAACATCAACAATTCAACGTGTTGATTATGCGTCTATGTTTTTTTTTTTCTTGTTTTTTTAGTATATATGGCGATATAAAGGGCCAAATTAAACGTAGGTACCCTTAACCGACAAGGATGGAGGAGGCACTAAAAGACTGATGACTGCTGTGGAAGCGAAAGAAATATATAAGAATCGTAGCAATTGGCGTGAAATCGTACTGTCTCTGCCCACTACCATGGGGAACAAGGGTGAGGTTATGTATGTAGAACATACCTGGATATAGATTTGAGGTATCTGACCGCAATTTCGAATTTTGATTTAATTCGGAGTTCGGAGTGCTGAAATCAAAGCGATCAAAGTCGGTGCGTGTTGGTGACGAGTTGACTAGTGCTTATTTTCTACGTAGTATTTTGATTTGATAATAAATTAACAAGAAAGACTAAACCGTAAAAGGTTGACCTTAAAGTTTGTATTAAAAAACATAGCTTAGGTATGTTTTTACTATCTATCGTTTTGATAAGACATGTTAATACCTACATGTCTTAGGTGTTTGTGGCAGTCTGAAATTCTAGTTATCAATTTATCTACTATATTCTTCTTCACGAAGGATCTGCTAGTTTGTGGAAATTAAGAAAGTAATAAAACGTATGTAATGTAAATGTTATACAATTTATTTAAACATGTATAAACTTTTATACAAACAAGTCACAAGGTTAAACTTCTAAAAGTCCAATAACTATGCTTGATATTAATGTATAAGAACACTAAACGGTAAGTAGACAAAAATGCATCTTATGGTACATAGAAATTAGATTCACATTCATTCACAGACTTTTTACAAACTTAACCCCTTACACCCCTAATTAATGTTTGATTAATATAATCATCATTTTTGTTAAAGTTTGAAAACCGTATTCGTACTTATGTTCTTACAAACATACAAACAAACTTAATATTATTATTTAACGACTAGCCTACATGATATAAGGTACTAATGATCTTAGGCCCATAGCACACGGCGTATTTTATACGCGCAGATTACGCTCATTTACGTACTTCATACGAAATTCGAACGCAGCCTTGTAACCTAACCTAAGAAAGGGGTTTCTACTGTGCGTACTCGTACACGCCTCCAGAGCGTATACGAGCTACGAGCTTTTTTATGGGGTAAAATCATCCAATGACATTCTCCCGCCTAGGTCAGGCGGTAGGGAGTGTCAGACTGTTACTGACTAAAAACCACCCCGTTCCTACTCCTGCCCTTCGAGCCGGAGTCCCGGCAACATGTTAAGTCCACCGCGGCTCCGTATCCGCATCAGCCCTATTGGGCCCCATTTGTGGTGGTCTGATAGCTCTTTGAGGTGCGTGAGAAATGCGACGCGCCGAGCGTATACGAACTGTACTCGCTCGTAACCCACAATAAAGAATTGTAACTGAGGTGCGTTCGAGTCAGTGGCTCACTCTCTGACCCTACTCCTTTGTTCGCACGTTTGAATCGCTGCAAACTGTCGTATACGTGCTTCATGTACGCGTTTTTGTCATCGATACAAACACAACAGTGTTTATGACGCCGAAAACGCGCGATGTCGCGCGTATAAAATACGCCGTGTGGTATGGCCCGTACAGTGCAAGCAGCGAATCATACAGAGTACATATTCTTCTTCGTTTTTTTAGAAACAGGCTGTAGTTAAAGTATGTAAATTTTGCGCCAGTTACTTTACGATACATTGTGAATTGTAATATGTCATTATCACTATTTAGAAATTCAACACACTCAATAATGTTTTACTCGCCTCGTGACTCGATTTCTGTCAGTCACATTTTGTCTAACTTAATTTTTTTATGCATACGAAATATTATAACAGATGTTACCTAATTTGACCTGTAACTAGCAATAACGTGTTAATATTATACATACATAAAGAATTATCAATTTAAAAACAACAAAGGTCAATTCTTGTAGCTGATTGTACTGAGCCTTGCAGCTGATACATACGTTTATACGCTTTCCTTTATAAAACTAAACTAGGCAATAAGTAAACTTTTATACATTCTTATATTTGCAATTGGTAGAAGAAGGTTCTTAGGAAAGAACACATTGGAAAATTCATCGAGAAAATAGCAACTCTGTCTTTATTCTTAAAGTTAACCTATATAATTCAATTCATTTTGTTTTATCCTTATTTTGTATTATTACAAAAATCCCTACAACATCTTTATTGACAGTCTCGGTATAAAATCCCTTGTAACTAAGAAAATTCATGCACGAAGTTACAGTTAACTATTTACAAATTTTATAAACCATTTACCAAAAAAGTCACTTCGCCAAAACGTTGATAAACGATTTTTCGTCAGGAGAATAAAATTTATCATTAATATTAATTTTTAAGACATAATTCAAGTAAGAGATTTAATTAAAATTTTAAACATTAAACATCATTAACATTTAGGTTTAACGTAAGGATGATAAAATATTTAATATCTTTATAATCGTTTCGTCTCTGCCACTCCTTGACACGTGAAAATGATAGCAATATTAATAACATATATCAAACATTATGGTAGACAAAGAACCAAGATTTTTGGTAGGCAGATAGGAAAATAAACAGTAACTATTCGTTGGTTTTTGAGCTTAATAATTAGGTATTATAAAATACTACTACTGCCTCAGTACTGAATAAATCTTTTTTTTTTACCTGGGTATCAAATAAATTATTTGACTGTACTTATGTTAACAAAACAAATCCTTGGACTGACAAGTGCTAATAAAAAAACCAAACAAAATGCATAGACATAAATTCGACAGCAAAACTCGTATCAATTTATCAAAGCAACAATTTTACAAAATATTAAAACATTACATACATTATACCTACTCACTAAAACAACAAAACTGCTTCTCCAATGTCTTAGGGCTTAAACAATAGAATACTTAAAAACTAATTCAAATGCTTACGAATATCGTGTACCAATAAATTCTTGAGATAACTATCATCATTTGAAAAACATTCAACAATATCAAAGTGGTCCATCCCATCTTTGATTTCTAAATACATATTTTGCATGAGACAGGTATTGTGTAGGATCTCATAGAACTCTCTAGACTGTTTCTTGAAAGTAGGACTGTCGTGCTGTCCAGCGAGGATGTATAAGCGTATCCTTCTACCTTGAAGGTGTGTGTAGTCGTCAAATTGTGGAGATAGGGGAATGGCCCATTCGTTTGGGAGCTGGACAGCATCGTTTACCGACGTATGGACGAGCTCCCGAAGGTCGTAAATCCCTGACACGAGGAACGCTCCTTGGAGACGAATAGCGCCTGGAGTGTTCTCGAAGAAGTCTGCATTCGAAAGCAACTTGGCAACTAAATGGGCACCGGCTGAATGTCCCGCGAAGTATATGCCCCTGGAAACGAGATAGGTCGATTTATTGCTAAATGTTTTAGTAATTTTGCAGATCTAAAATTAAAATCCCAACAACAATTTACAAGGTACAAAAAAGTTACTTTGGCAGTAATATAAACATTTCATTTCATCGTCGTCCTAAGGAAACAGATTTAAAAAGCCTACCCAAACGAACAAAGTTAAATAAGTCAACAATTTTTCAAATGAAACATTTAACTTATTCAATCTTATCACTCTTCAGCTTCATTACATCACAGTACCGATTATTTATCAAGGTGAAAGGTTATCTTACTTTGATCCCATTTTTTCGGCGTATTCGAAGACGAATTTGGCGGCTTTAGCTGTTTGACTGACAATTTCTGCGAGGGTCGCTGTGGGGCACAGATCGTAGCCGATGACAATCGTCTTCACTTTGCACTTGTGGAGTGGACTGGCTGGGTAGCGGGAGATCTCTCTTGAAAGCTCCTGCCAGTAGCCGCCGTGAATGTAGACGAGGATCGGTGCATCTGAAGAACGAAGAATGATTTCATGTGATACTTTATACGTACAGATACTTTCTAAATGTACCTATGTGAAATATTTAGATATCGGCTTTTGTAATGGTTTTAATGCTAAACTCTAAAAAGATGTCTTCAACATGTTATGTATGTTTAGTCCTTAAACATGTTCATTTAAATAAATTCGATCACAATGTTTACCTACTTTATTCTTTTTTACAAGTTCATAAAATATCCGATTTCAATCCATAGCAAAATACGTATCCAACGAAATAATAATTAATATCAATTAACATAGCAACGGATTGCAACACAGAATAATTAGTAATCAGTAATCAGATAATCGTAACAGATGTGTCAATGGTTGCCATCAAATTCTAATTGCGTTCACTAGTTGCACGTCAAATTGTAACTAATTAAAATGGCGCTGTCAACTTGTGCGTCACGAAAAATTAATTATAATATTGTGCGTTTTCATTGTTGTAGATGTCAAATTGACGTTTTAGTATGACTTACTTAGTTTTACATTAGAATGAGTAATTATATATGAGCCATTACAAAAGTGCGAACTGTCACGTCAAAGGAAAATGACAATGCCATACAACTTGCTTATGTACGAACGAGAGGTCTAAGGACTTAATACGAGTTTGTTTTACGTTTAAAGTATTCGAAACGAGTGCGCGTTCGGCACTCTGATTGGTTGGTTCATTCGAGCCGGCAAATCAGAGCGCAGAGTAGATGAAACTCGTACTAAGACCTCTAATAAAAAAGACTGGGCAACCGGCTACCGCGGAACGTTTCGCGGGTGCGATTCCCGCACAGAGAAAAACGTTCTTTGTGTGATCCACAAATAGTTGTTTCGGGTCTGGGTGTGATGTATACACGTGAACTTGTTTTAAGAAAATCCTAGTGTGGGTCAATATTTAAAAAAAAAAAATTAAGAAAAGAAAAACCCACTTATGACGGTTTTCGTGTTTATAATGCTCTGTTATAACTATAGCTGACATGATAGTGAGATGTTTCAGCCCGATTCCTGGGTGAGATTACGTATTAAGGGTTTTTAATTTCATAATAACAGCATGGAATCTAGAATTATGCCATAATTGATCATACGGCACTTACAACATAATACCTTACTTCATCTAGTAACCAAACCCTTACCCACACTGACGACTAGTAGACTAAATATAACAAAGTAGTCAAATAACAATAAGTATAGTAGACTGACATTCCGTATTGTTATTGTTTTATTTTTATGTCCAGCTCGTAATGCGAGCCACAGCTGTAGCATCAATAGCAAGATGTTTTATAACGTGACACAAATCCTTAGAGAGGCTTCACACCCGCTTGTGATTTATTTGATCCCAATACCTGTTATTTGGATCAAAAAATTCAATATTCAAGGATCAAGTTTATAATGTAGCTGATACGTATGTATAATGTAAAAGTAAGCTAAGTTTATTACCGATTTCTATTTTGTGTTGTATTGTGATTTGCCCTTGAAATATATTTTCGGACTTTTAAATACCAAGGACTTATAAATCTATTAGATTTTCAGTTTATTTGTTTGTGTACTTGTAAACTGATTTTCGCCCAAAAGATGTCGAGATCGGTACATATTTTTGCATACAAAACTAATGTGAAGTCAGCCTAATCTAAAAATTTTAGGATAGGTAAGTACACTGAATTTTATTGTACGATTTTATATTCTGTTCGTTCCGATCAAGGGTTGGAATTGTTGCATGTAAATGTTTCCACACATAAAAGTAAATGAGGACTAAAAGGACAGCTTGTTATAATGTCTCGTTCGCACTACACTAGTACTTCAGTCGAGTGGCGAGTATTTAGTAGTTCTCTCTCGCTTCTATATCAAAGAGAGATTCAGCTACCAAAATACTCGCTACTCGTATGTATTAGTTATTGTAGTCGTACGTATTACTTACTTACCTACTTAGTAACTTTATGCCAGTGCTAAAAATCAGCTCCGCGACTTGAGCTATCGCGCTCGGACCACGGCATTTGTTTGAGCACTGGCCTTTTGCGCCGTTTTCATAGTTTTTTTAATTATTTTTTCTTTTTTCTTTCTTCCTTCTATATTTAAAACTAATTAAGATGTCAAAGTCAAAGTGTTTTTTGCAACTAAGTGTAGGTATATATGATGGGCACATAATACATAGTCGAAAAAGGAGATTACCTAGAAGATAAAATACCCATTAAATGTGACAGAAGCAAACCCATTGGCTAAAATTAGTCACAAAATAAATGTTTTCCGACAATCATTAAGACCAGGTCTGTAGGTAACTAAACCTTTGGCTGACATACACAAAAAAAATTAGTAATTAAAAAAAAAATTAAAGAAATACTCGTTAGGGCCACACGTTCCGGATCGAATTTCGTTTATTTTAATTTATTATAAGTAAAAATGATCCTGTGTTTTTACTTAATTAGTAAATAATTACATTTCGTATTATCTATATTATATAGTAGTAGAATTCCAATATTTTGAAAATAGATATTGACATTTAGAAAATGTGTTAATGTTGGAATGATGCTAGCGATTATCTTTTTATAAATCCGATAATATCGGGTAACTACCTAACTCTCAGGTTAGCAAGATTGGTTTATAGCATAAGTACATAAACTTACACAAGTCTTAGGTATAAGTTGAAACATACAAACAACTAAGTAATTAGAACCTTAAACAGGATAAAACCATTGAGTTATCGTAAATGTACATAAATTATTGAATAGCAAACATAATTAGGGGACTCATCCATTAATTAGAAGAGGATTTTAGACAAGTGTCAATCGTCCGGAGAGATTCCATTAACATGTACACAACTCTTCCGTTGCCGGCGATTAAGTGATTGATAAACACATAACATGGCCGAAAGTACCTACAATTTATTACGAAGGGTTAAGCAGAGGTGCACATTATACCACTGTACAATGTAACACCCACTTTTCACTGTTTATATTATGAGTCCCATGTAATAGGAGGTGAGCCTTGCCATATACGGCCACAATTCCAGACTTCGTGCTACTACTGAGAATTTTTTAAAACCCTAGTAATTCTTTGCCCGACCCGTGAATCGAACCCGAAACCCCTTGTCAGTCGTACCTACTTGCGACCAATCGACCAACGAGGCAGTCAACTAGTACAATCCACAAGCCATAAAGACCGCAGACGACAAGGGCGTTTGGGAGAGGGTTGTGCATCAAGTGACGCGTGCACTAGACACGACCTTCAGTAATGAAGAAAACGGCTAGGAAGAAGAAGAATTGGTTTATCCGATCCACAGAGTTTACCTCTGCGCAAGTAAATTTCTTTAGAAATAGGTATGGGGAAGTGACTGCATAAAAGTTTTTTTTTATATCTGATAGTTTGCAGGGAACTACAGGATGCAGGTCGTATCCAACCAGCCAATGTGGAGTGAGAGAGACCTATGTTGACCAGTAGACGCTTCGTGGCTGAGTCAGAACGATGGTAAGGTGATATTTTTACCTGAACAACATATAGACACTGTGTTAAAAACAGCTACTAAATAAATACGTCTTCTATAACATTGTATTGGTACAAAAAATATCAATTATCATTAACTCTTGTTACATAAACCAGGCTAATTGCCTAAAGCACTCGTAATTAGTACCGGTTTCATTTTGAAAATGGTAAAGGAGGGCAGGGTGCCGCGATAAATTTTAAACAGAACCTTTGGAGAGGTATCGTTAAACGAGGTTCTTTTTTTGTTTTATTATGTGTAAAATTTTGAATGAAGTATAAATTTTTCAGTAGCTAGAAGTCACTTCCGACCAGTCGATCTAGAAGTTAGTCACTAGAGCAAACTTCTTTTAGCTACACAGGCCTCTCAGAGGGCGTCGTTCGTCGATATTTTCTCTGTGTTTTTTTTTAACTATCAACAATATCACTTTTAATATGATTCGCACACTGAAGCAAGTCAATTCTTTTGGATTGTAAGCTATTTACAATTGGTTGCGCCGTGAAAGTGCCGTGATCATTTTAATATAATTTTCCTTAAAGATGGCAATGCACTTATATTTTTGCGACCAGCGCGTTTCGCAGAGCATTGATATGTTTGGCACGAGCTTACGGCGTTGAGCCGATTCTCGGAAGAATTTTATTATTTCTTTAATTGTGCCGATCGCATTACGTATAGAGGCCATTTGATTTAAATCATGAACCACTAAATTCAAATTATGGCTGGCGCAGTGGAAAAATAGGGCTTTTTTATATTTTTCTCGAAGAAATTTTTGAACGCCACCATCTTTTCCCGACATTGTGGGGAACCCGTCATAGCCTTGCCCAACACACTTTTCTGGATCCAGATTCACGTTTGTGATGAAATTATCTATGGCAGAGGCAATAGATTTAGCGTCCATGGCTATCAATTCGACGAACCCTAAAAAATCTTCTCGAATCGTCATTTTTTCTACGTCGAAAAATCTGACGCCAATAGATAATTGGTTTTTGCCTGCTATGTCGCAGCTTTCATCAGCCAAAATACTGTATTCCTCTGATTTTTTCACGCTGTCAATGATATCATCTCTGATAATATCCCCAGTACATATATAATATATTATATATATTATCATCTGTGATAATATGACTTACGGATAGTATGATTGTTGATATTGTTAGTTAGAGTTAGTAAAAAAAACATTGTTTAATCAGACACCTTGTGGGTCAGAGCCAGGGCCCAGGGTGGGGCAAGTGCCCCAGCATGCCCCAGTGTGGCTACGCCCATGGCCTCTGTTCAATACAGACGACTTATGGCTAAGTTGATGATGATGATGATGATAAAAAAAAATGTTTACGAAACTCCTTATTAAAATACTACAATATTTTCTTGTATCGCGTTTCTAGATATCAAATACACACATGCCACATTTTGGAGCCGGAACATCCACTTGAGGAATAATTAAAAATATTGTGCCGTATCTACGGACGTTGAACTTAGCTGTCGATTGTTCGGATAGGTATCTTAAAGATATATAAATATTATCGGAATGCCTGAAGTACTGCGAGAGGAACTTATGAATGGTACCATTTTTTAAATAAGTTATACTCTTCTGGTTCGTTGTGTATATATTGTTCTAGTTTTATTATTTCATCGTTTATTTTATTAATGTGTCCAGTTACTCTAATTGGCTTTTGTTTTCAACCATTGTAACCGTAAATAAATAAATAAAAATGTATGAGGTCATTTTCAAATCTCGCAGCCCTGACAATTAGTCTAACCGCACGCACTATATTACAGTTGCTTAGTAGTAACTGTATCGACTACATGGTTAACACAATGGCTGGTGGAAGACAGGATGCTGCCTACCGTGCAATCTGTCACGGAATCAATGGGTTATCCCGAAAAGTTATCCCGGGTCTGGGTTTGAGTTGTGTCTTTGTATTCGCACACATGGCACAGGAGAAAACCCTAGTGTAGTATGTAACCCTTTTAGAAATAAATGAATTCAAACCGTAGGTTTAAAATAAAACTGGCAGGTCACTTTCATCGGATTGATCTGATGGCATTAACATATTATATGAGCAAAGGGTTCGATAACCTTGCATATCATTTGAAGTCTACTTTGTCATTATCTACAGCTACCTTGAAGCGTCACTATTATCTCTGTCTCATTTGCTTTGTACTCTCACTTATCTATATAAGTTTACATTTGCATATATCATCAAATTGAGAAAATACAGACAAAGGTTGTTAGTTAGATTGTAACTCATCTAGGCTACAGATAAAAATAAACGTAGAACACTCTATATTATACCTACTATTTATTTTTTCTCTATACTAGTTTTGCTCACCAGATGTCGCTAGTGCGCTCCTCTTGTTCTTTGAGGTGAGTAGATAGTACAGTGTGTTCAATTTCTACGAAGGTTATGATCTTATGTACTTGTAGACCAATCATTCAATTCAGCTTATGACGTGATAGGTAAAAGAGTACTAGTGGACTTTATTATTACGAATTGCCAAATTAAATACAATAAAATTGGAGTGTATGTTAGTAATATTAAAATAACCGCTTTTTACTACATACATATGCATGTAGTTATGTTAATGTTATATGTATATTCGTACGAATATACATACCAAAATAACATGTCATACAATTTTTGTCTGTCTGTCTGTTTGTACTTGTGATTTTGCAAGACTTTTATTGGTAGGTAGCTGATGTACCTACTGAGAACACAGGCTACTTTTATTTTGGGAAATTAAAACAAAAGCTGTTCTAAAATTATTACATTAAATTGCATATTCAAAGTCACACAGTCTAGTTTTAAAACAAGAAATTGAACAGTTCATGAGGTTTGTATTTGTGTAAATATGTATAGTTATTGATCAAGTTAGGTAACTTTCTCCTTTCTGTTAAGTACTTATTGAATTTGTAATAATGACGTCATCGTGCAGTAATGTAACCTTATTATCCATTATTGTTAAACTTGTTGTCACTATCTCTATTATACTATTTTAAGGTAAAGAAATAATAAAAAAATGTTTTAATATCTAATGCATTGCAGGATGTTGTTGCTGTTGTTAGATTCGAAAAAATTCTTACCATTTGGTAAATCAGTTCCAAGTATGTCTAGTTTCTGTCCAGGTGTCGACCCGTACTCGATCTCCAGTTTGTGTGGAATGTTATTTGTTGCTTCTTCACTAGCTGTAAAATAACATGTAGTATGTACCTATTAGTCTTCGTCATTCATATTTCATGTCATACAAGCCAAAATATACCTACAATGCAATAAAAAAGAGTTCAATCTTAAAATGTATTCATTACATTTTCAGTCTAACCAAGATAAATCTCCAAGTACGTCACTGGAGGGACATAGAACACTATATTAAACAACAGATATCATAACATATTTATTGGAGAATTGAATGGCAAAAAACTGCAACACCTGTACAATAATGTGTTCAGGAGGGATTAATAAACCTATCCTGAAAAGTCTAGAGATGAGATGGTTCAAAATTGTTAAACCCTTATCACCTGTTGTCACATGCTTCACGTGGTTTTGCAGTACTTCCAGGGCCGTAGGAAACCTGATCGACCACCGACTGGGGGAGTATTCCCTCTCCAGGTCGATTGCGTCGAGAATCACCGACATTTTCGGTTTTTCTGTACCCTGAAAACAAAAGACAAGGCATTTGGTAACCTGTGTGTGTGAAAATAGAGGTTATTTGCCACGACTCTCAAATCTTATCGCGGTTGTCGTAAGAGCTAAACTATAGGACTGAATTGAACAGGAACCGGTTAGGAGTGCTCTCTGATAAACCTGGTTCTAACTAAAAATGACGGGTTTCTCTTGTGAATATAATGAAAAAAGCTCTACTAGTTTCGAATCACAGTGGTACTTGCTCATGGGCAGCGTGCGCGGACGCTGTAAGTACAATAAGCTGCGCGACATCACCGCGGCTGCGTACACTGCTCATAAGAAGGAATAGGTATAGTATTGTAGGATTGGAACACTGCATTAATGATTTTTGAAATAGGTACCTATAAAATCAGATTCAATAATCTGTTCTTTATTTTTTTATAATGGGGTTTGTCTCGTCAAAACAACCGAAATAAAGTAACGTTCACTACGATCGTTTACGCAAATATATTTTTGTTATCAAATACTGGAAAAGCGAGTGTAACAATGTTACCAATATCAATTTAATTCAGGTTAAATTGTCCAATGTAATTGATTAATTATTTCTTTGAAATTAACATTTTACTAAGAATGACAATAATGATTATCAAACTGGTGTAATTATTGCATGCTGCTAAGATTAGGGTCAATAAGCTTCATATAGAATAAAATCTAAGAAAACTATTAGAGCTCTTAGGGTTACGTTACACCATATTGTATAACACGATAACATTTATGATAGCGTGTAACACACTATACAACTTATCAAGGTTCTACTTAAACTTTTGTTATAATTTGTTTAAAAACAAATGTTAAGTCAGACTTTAACGTTAGGTATGTAACTGCTATGTGGGAGCAGATTTATACGCGATCGGCATGTTGCCAACGGCAAAGGTAATCAGGTAACTGCAGCCGTCGACGCGTGTCGGTGGCAACCGTCGTATTTTAACATCGAAGAATGCTACAATTGCAAGAGTCGCTATAGGTCGACTGCGGCAACCGCTGACGCGTCGACCGTCTCAGTTACCTCTGCCGGTGGCAACAAACCGCTCGTGTGTAAGAGTAAAAACGTAATTAATCTTTACCTCACTAACTTCCACGACTTTTGAATTTCTTTTCCGAAGAAATCTTTTCAAAAAACACTTAAACAACACTCTCATTTTCACTAAACACAAGTCCATGTTTACAACAAACTTCGTAATAATCGTTATCAGATCTATATAAAGTAAATAGAGCGAGTTCGAATCCAAAACAGCGACAAAGTTCGCGATAAACATACACACGGATAGTTTATCAAATAAATTGCATCACTTCACAGATGTTACACAGAAAACTGATAAAGTAAATGATGTCAATTGTATTTTAGTAGTCACTTTGTTAACAATCGTTTGAGTGTTTATCTATACTAATAAAGAGGAAATATATAGAGGAATATAAAGAGGAAATTATAAAGAGGAAAGATTTGTATTTTTGTATTTTTGTATTTTTGTATGTTTGTAACGAATAAACTCAAAAACTACTGGACCGATTGCAATAATTTTTTCACCATTAAAAAGCTGCATTATTCAGAAGTAACATAGGCTATATAATATCACGCTAGGTCCTATAGTTGTGGAGCAGTAACCAAAAATGTTTTAAAAACGGGGGAAAAGGCCTTCCGTGGCGTGCGCTGAGCATATAGTTAAAGTTATACAAAAATGCTCTATAGATGAATTGTTCATAAATAAATGAAATAAGTAAATGAAGTCCGGAAAAATATTTTCCAAAGGTAAATACTTCCTAAATAAAAAAAAACTGAGAATAAATATAAATAAAACGTAAAACTATCTAAAAAATCTTAAGTCCCCCCGTGCGAAGCCGGGACGGGCCGCTAGTTAACAATACATTGAATGTTTGTTAACTAATGTTTTGAGTGTTTAACTACCGGTTTCAGTGACTTCCCTGCTGTTATGTTGTTATTGTTATTCCTTTATTTATTTTTATTGCCAATTCATTTTATTTTTAATAATAACGGCAGATAATAATCAATTGTACCCAAATGTTGTTTATTTAACGTTTCATTATTCGTTGTGTTTTTGACGCCTAAATCACTGAACCGATTTTGATACGAAATAAAAAATAAGTTTAACATGAAAAAAATGCTGTGGAATTCATTCAGTAGATAGGTACTTCTTCGACTTTAATACATTGTAATAAGACATAGATTTGTAAACATTTTGCCGGTGTAACTCCTAACACATTTAGTCCAAACAAACATATTAGGAATGTTGTCATAAACTCATTTGTCCTTGAGAGATAAAAATAATTCACTCAATGTCAACTAGATTTTATTATAAAGTTTCAAGGTCGAATGTACCTAATTGTGTACCGTACCGGTAGTAAACCGTTATTTTTATATAAAACTTACTTTTCACATAGTGGGTGAGCTTATTGTCACCCACTGGACCACTTCAAGCTCAGTATTATCTCTAAGCTATTAATTCTATTTATTTAATTCAGTGTCTCTCGCGAGAGTTACTATAAAAATATAAATTTTATAAGTATAATACATTTCCCATTGTATTTACCCAGGAAATAATTGCAGTTGCATAATGTTGCATCATGAATCGAAACGACCATCTCATCAATTGGTCTCAGCAATTAGGTATTGTTCGATAATCTTATAACTCTAGGTTAGCGTGATCAATAACAACTTAAGCAATGCTTAAGAAACGATTACATTTCTACCTCTAGAATTCCACCTTTTTTGTGTACTTATACAGTTTTTTCGAGTCGTAAGTTTATGACGTTCTTGTCAAATTATAATTGATTACTTACCTATTTCTTTGAAATAGTTTAACATTTCATTAGGAATGACGTCCACCGTGATTTTCTAAGGGGTCATTATTGCATGTTGCTGATTAAGATTGATTATCATCATCATCATCACCAACAGGCTATAAGCACCACTGCTGATCAGAGGCCTCTTCTCACACGGAGAAAGTTTGAGTATTAATCACTACGCTTGCAATGGGAATTTAACTTATAATTCTGTAATACAAACTTAGATTACACAATTATAAGCCTTACGATGTTTTCCTTCACCGTTTGTCAGTGTCTAGATAATCTTAGAATGTATATAACTCGGAAAAAGTCACATTGGTACTTGCCGTTGGTAGGTTTCAAACCCGCGGCCTCATGCATAAGAGAAGCGGACGTCTTATCTTCCCGGGCCTATCTAACCTCCGGGCCACTACGACATTTTAGACTAATATCGATTACTTATAGAATAAAATCTCAGAAGTACGAAACCTCTTTTCAGAGCGAAGAATCTGGACCTATTAGCTTGGGGACTCTCAGACGAAGAAAGCCGTCCAATTTATACCGACACTAACCAATGACGTCCAGAATGAACGACAACTGAACCACAATTGATCAGGCAGGTAAAACGTCTTTGGACATCTGAGTCACATGATCAATTGGTCAGACAGGTAAATCCTTAAGGTTTTCTGAACAAACCATAGGCTCTACATTACTTACATAATATTTAACCTCCTTGCATTGTTTACCATTTACTAATCAGTATACTAATTCAATCGACCTTGCTGTTTACAGACGCACAAATGCACTAAAAGATAACAGGTGTTAGCTGCATTATGATACCATAAAATTGTCACGACAGTGTTAAAATGACGTCACAATCACACTCTATAGATCAGGGCCAGATATATTGTGGTATCGAGCATTTTTTTATGTTCTTATTTGAAAGACTTCATCAAGTATTTTTATTTTTATAGTAGCCTAGCCTATGTGAGCATTATGTTTGAAACAATCATTCATAGCTTCTTATTTTATTTCAGGAGTTGATTCCGTAGTCCCATTAAATTTTGTCGTTGTATTGTCGTTACATCGTGCTCACATATAAGCAAAGGATCGGATAATGTATGAATGAAACATTAGACTGTAAAAAAACATTTTTTTTAAAGAAATCTCTATCCTCACGATGTAGTTTCTTGCTCGCTCTTCTCCATTCGAATCTACACTTTGGATCCAGCGCCTAGCTTCACTGACTGACAGACGGAATGATAATTAAATTTTTGACGTTTCAAAAGTGCCTAATTAGGGATTAATTGAAATAAATGCTCTGACTTTGACTTATTCATATCCACATTCATTTCATCATTTGCAAACAAGGGTACGTAATAGGTGTTTACAAAGTTTAAAGTTTCTCCATATTTTGCCTTTTTTTGAGGGGGAAAATCATCCAATGACTTCTCCCGCCCGGGTGAGGCGGGAGGGAGTGTCAGACTCTTACTGACTAAAAACCACCCCGTTCCTACTCCTGTACTTCGAGCCGGAGCCCCGGCTACCCGTTAAGTCTTCCGCGGCTCCGTATCGGCATTAGCCCTGTTGGGCTCCATCTGTGGTGGTCTGATGGCTCTTTGAGGCTCGGGCCTGGTTCTGGTCGGGCGGCGAGTCACCCGTGCTCGCCGTCCGCAGTTAGATAATACTAATTTGGATCTAAAAATAATCCTGCAATCAAAACGCTTTGTAACTGTATGCCCCTTGATATTACTGTTGGGAAAGGCAAAAATGTACTTAACCTATGTGTGGATTGTACGGATACTATTTCTGCAAGATAAGGAAACCCATGGCTTACATATAATACATGAATTATTTATTTCACTGAATAATTATTTCTGAAATTATCATAGCATTATTACCTATATTCCGTGACTATTTAATTAAAGGATGTTCCGTGACTGTCATGTTGTGTTATTATATTTTATCATGAAGAGTTTATTATGCCTACCAATAACCCAACTGATTAACACTAAAAAGAGACTGGAATTCCCTCCCACCTAACATTCGCGATGCTCATTCTATCGCAGTCTTAAAAAAACAAATAAAAGACTAACCTTTCCTTATGAGTACAGATTCGTTCATTTGTATCTGTATTTTATATAACATCATTATGTATTACTTAATTATTTTTTAAATAATGTATATTA